CTCGATTTTGTGATCAAATTGTCTTAGGATTCAAGTAGAAAGCAAATGAGTATTTACGAATTTTTAGTATGTAATTAAATAAACAAAGTTTGCCCCCTCCAGATTAAAAACGCCCCAATTCCAAGAGTTTTCGTAAATAAAATAGTTGTAGGTTACGATGAGATGAAACTATTTACGAAGTTTAAGACGGATTTTAATAATTCGATAAAAAGGGGTTTGTGCCACGGACTACTATTGCATTTATTAAACATTAACTATTAAAAAATAAGTCATAAAAAAATGCAAAGCGTTAACCAAAACAATTAACAAATAGAATCAGGAATGGACGGAAGGATTTAACATTAAATAAATCAGTAACACTACCATACAATATCCTAAACATTTTCAATAGCAGAAAATGTATCTTGTATGAAAATACAAAAACTGACTTTAAACCGGATTTATTTTTGGGACTCGAGGGTGGCGACTTTGTACCTGAATGTATTTTGTAAAGGGGCACTCGTGCAACCACTGCTAAGTGCTGTAAACCACTCCTAAATGTGTAAAGCCGAGAAAAATATTTACAAAATGTTCGTTAAATATGGCTGCTAGAACTCTCGATTTTAACACAGACTAGGGTCCTTTAAAGTGTTCCAAACTTCGTAAACGCACGGAGAAGGTCATTGTAAGGTTTTGATGAGCTTGATTCTTTGTTATTTGTTTCTGTACAATATCCACAGAAATGAAATTTAAAGACAGTTACAACAAGTTCATGAATACTCCTAATATGAAATTACCAGGCGTACTAAAACATTTTTGTATTTAGACAACTCTCCTTTAGTTTTGATATAATATTTTTCAGTCATCCAGGTGGTATCAAATCCAAATAAACTCTACTGTCTAGTCACCTTCCGGTCTGAAAGTTTTTGCCAGTTTACAATATAACAATACAAAAACATTCGATTTCCGAAAAAACTTATATTATACTAGCTCATGTTTTACAATAATAATATTTTTTAAGTTGTAATTGCAGGTGTAAAATCGGTCTTGGTCTTGCAAAGTGCTCAAGACTGTCTCACTGTTGTAAGACCAAGACTAAGACTGCTAAAAAAAAATTGTTCTTGTGAATAAAAATCAAGGCAAAATAGTTATTAATACTTGAAAATTTTAGTTAATATATGTAAAGAATTGGTATAACCAATATACTTTCGCATTTAACCCATCCAATTTTTTATTCGGGCTTAGTTAGGTTTCCCCAATCTGAAAAATTACAGTAATATCTCCATAGTAAGAGGTAACTGCAAGACTGTTGCGAGACCAAATCGAAGACCAAGACTGAATGCGCAAGGCTCGTCTTGGTCTCACATTTGGACAACACTATTCAATAGCAGTAAATCTACTTTTTATGAACATGCAACAACCGGATTTATTTTTGGAACTTGAGGGTGACTTTGTACCTGAATGTATTTTATAATATGAAATTACCAGGCGTGCTAAAACATATTTTTATTCAGACAACTCTTCTTTAGTCTTGATAAAACATTGTTCCAGTCAACCAGGCTGTTTCAAATTCAAAATAAACCCAGCTATCTAGTCACCTCCTAGTCTGAACATTGTAACCAATTTACAATATAAAAATAAAAACATCCAATTTCAGAAAACACTTATATTTTACTTACTCATGTTTTGGAATAATAATATTTTTTAAAATTATAATTATAGGTGTAATATCCAAGTACAAGTCATTAATTATAGACGAACCTTAGATCAGAACGAACCAAATGTAAGTTATCAAGAAGTTCTATAATATTATAATATTATAAGTTATTATTAATAACATAATGGTAATGTAAAGAAGAATTCAATAATTTAAAGAACTATGATGAGTGCACCAGACGGGATGCATTTGAATCAATGCGCTTGGGATAGAGGGCTTTTATTGCTCCTCGCTGTCTCCGTTCGTCAATAAATGTACCGTTAGGTCACCTTGGAACTCTTGAGGAGAAAACATCCACCATCCAACCGATACCAGTTTCATTAGAGTTTGATATCGTCAGATTCAACACAATCTTTCTTACCTACGGGATCAAGCCAATTATTGTTTACTCATGTAGTCCAAGTCAAAAGTATTTCAAGCATAAATTAACAAAGGTAGAGTTTTCGAACATTTTCCATAGAAACCTCACCTTGGGATGTCGAAAATCTCAGTTTAATATTAATATTTTGAAGTAAGAAAAAACAATACCCTTGTTTTCAAAAGTAACATTTCTCTCTGCACAGTTTCACAATACAGTCTCAGAGTACGACCGTAAATGAGTACGCAAGGTGCAATATGGGTCCTCTCTCCTCCTACAATGGGAAAGCCCCCAAAAAATTTAACATTAAGACAACAATTTACAATGATTGAATAAATTTATTTAAAGATCGAAATCCAAAAATGGATAGAATGGGTGTAGAAAGATCAATATGGCACTGAGCACCGAAAGTTCCAAATGATAAAATAAACGAGACTTTAGAAAATAAGAGTGTTGTTTTTTTCTTACTAAAAGCATAATTACACAGTCCATTCATTAAACTTATATATATTTTTTAAATTATGAAAGTGAGGCAGAGAGAGATGGGATATACAGAAAAGGAAAATTTTAGAAATGCATGCATGAACATTTTTTTTAGTTTGAAACCAATTTCGAAGGGAACCGTAATCTACTAAGAAAGTCACATGTCACATACAAGCGTTCACGGGAAGAAATAACGAAGAAGTTATCAGATATCACAGGGGGATTTACGGAGGGGGGAGAGGGCTTCGGGCTGAAGCCCCTCCCCTCCCAAATGGTAGAATATAACCATGTTTTATTGAAAAAAAATATTAAGGACTATCTCTTAAATTATTATTGTAAGTGTAATTAAATTTAATATGACTTCAAAAATGATTAAGACACCATGTCATATGGGTAGTTAGTTTATTTTATTTTTTCAAATTAATTATCGTTATATGTATGAAAAAAAAAAATCCTTCGGGCTGAAGCCCCCCAAAATTAAATCCTGGATCCCTCTAGTGTCAGATATCTACGCGGTGCACAGAAGGGGGTTTCCCGGCGCAGGTTGCACCATCCAAATTTTTTAAAGGGACATATTTTCAGGGGTTTTTGAATTTTTGAGGTGGCACATTTCGACTCGGTTCTGAATTTTCTGAATGAAATGTTCAGACTAAGAGGCGAGAGGAGAAGCATAGACCTGACCGGAGCATGTGTAATTCTATATGATTTGAGATTTTCCTAATTCTATCTTCGCTTGCACTGTTTTTAAGAAAAGGAGAGGAATAAAATATCTAGAGAGATGGAGCGTAGGTTTTTGTGCCATCTTTAGGGAAATGTGCACTCCTACAGATATTCCCATTAGGTCTCAAGAATTCAAGGTCCTTAGTTAAAGCGCATTGTTGATTATAATTTTTCGCCATTATCCTTGCTAAGAGAATATTAATAATTCACACGTTATAGGAAGTTTCCAAACCCTCAAGTCTCCCAAATACCAGTAAATAACCTACTAGTCAACACTGGAGGAATAATTTTTGTTGAAAAAGATGAGATCTAGAGCCGTGAAAAAATGGATGTAGAGCCTTTATAGTCCGCGATATAGACCCCCTCCCTTTTTTTTTATCAAATTATTAACATCCCTCTAAAACTTTGTGAATGGCTTTATCTTATCGTAGCTTAAGTACTTTTTTATTTAACAAAATTCTCAGAACTGGGTCGTTTTCCCATTAAATTGATTAATTTAATCAGGCTCTAAATATTCATTTGCTTTCCACTTGAATCGCAAGAATAATGGGTCGTTTTGTATTTTAATATAATTTGAGAGCCTGTGTAAAAAAAATCGACATTATTTGATGAAAGCTATGAAAGACTTTTTTTTTAATGTTAATAAGTTTTATATTGAAAAAAATACATTGTGTCTGTTGGATCTTGCTACCTGTAAAAATGGCGGCTTATTTAAAGAATATTAGACCTGTAACTAGAGAAATGGCAAATTCTTCCTGTAAAATGTAGGAAAAATTTCTTTGGTAACTTGTAAAGATTAGTTTGGACATGTAAAAAACAAAATTGCTTACCCGGGTCGTTAAAGGAAAACTTTTTAAAGCCAAATAGCCAGATGTTTTCGAACTTTTTTTTTTCACTTATATCTCCTGTACTGTTCTTAAAAGCGAAAAACGTTTTCTTTAAGAAATTAAAGGGCATTAAATTGTGCATAGAACGAGTAATTACTAATAGAACGAGTTATAAACTCAGTAATTAATTCAAAGTAGTTACTAATACTTGATAATCTTAGTTGCTATATGTTAATAATTGATATAACTAATATACTTTCGCATTCAACTCCTCTAATTTTTCATTCGATAGTTAGGTTTCTCCTTTCTAAAACATTACAGTAACATCTCTGTAGTAATAAGCTAATAGGTAACTGTAAGACTGTTGCGAGAATCTTGTTCAAGACCAAGACCAGGACCAAGACTGAGTTTGCAAGACCAAGACTCGTCTCGGTCTCGCATTTGGGCAACTCTAGTATTTATGCCAGAACTAGGTAGTTTTTTTTTTTATTATTATTTTGTTATGCAAGTATGGATTATTTTGGTTTGATCATAATTCAATTTGTGTTTTATAAATTTCACTCAATAATAAAAACATATACGAATAATAGATATAAAAAATGTTAATTTTGGAGGATTATAATTGTAAATAAAGCTATCCAAAGTTTATTAACTTTCCAATAACTCAGCCTCCATTGCATTCTTGCAACGCCTTCCTTCGTCCTTCATGTGCCATAATTAAGAATATCTTGAACTCTCAATGGTTTTATTAATGTCGGAATTAATCCTCCGTTTTTCATTGTTTCCTTTTAAGGTTAAGCTCATACCGAGGATTAATAATGTCGATATATTTAACGTCGTCCACTCGAAATAGATAAATGATTTGTAAGAAAGGGTGGAAATTCACCAGAGCTGGAAGAGTGGGGGTCTTCCAAGGCGGTGGGGAGGCAAGCGCTGCAACTCCAGTCTCTGTCCGACAGTGCTTGTGTACGCTTCACAAATCCACCTCTTCAGCAACTATGGCGAACAACCGTGCTGCAAAGTCTGGCTTCGCTGCTGAAGCTCAAAGGAAGGTCAGTAAAGAAAATCTGATCATATATATATTTTACATTTATATTATATCCAATTTCCTTAATGTACCTTTGAAAAACACATTTTTGAAAATTCTCAGTGCATTCTCAAAAAAATTGAATACTATTGAAAGTCAATTTATAAATTTAATATACAACCAGAAAAAAAATTAAATAAAAAAAAGTAACCCGAAATCGCTAAATTTAATATAATACCTATAAAATCATGGGTTTTAATTAATGTTAGAGTAATAATTAAAACTTTAATTTGCAGTATACGTTAAATCCTACAAAAAAAAAAAAAAATAAAAACAATATTGTTGAAGGATTAACCCTTGAAATCCTCCAGTCGAACGCTGACACTTGTTGATCCATACCCACGTTGGGAATTCCCTTTAATTTATTTCAGACTAATAATAAAATAAAAAAAATTTCGTACAATTGTATACAATTGTATAAATTGTATACAAAAAAAAATTGTATACAATTTCGTGTTATTTGAATCAGTTTACACCCTTATTTATAGACAACTCATATATCACAAAAAAAAAAAAAAAAAAAAAAAAAAAAAAAAAAAAAAAAAAAAATGAAAACCCGATTAGCAACAGATACGGTTATTAAGAATTTCATTAATGGAATTTTCCGTCATTAGAAATCGGTACAAATCACCTGATCAAGCAATGGTCTCAGTGTATTTTCCATTATTTAATTTCTTATGAGAAAAGAAACGTAATTAATTATTGATTACTCTTAAATGAACAAAAATAAATAATCTAAAACCTTAATTAAATCCTATAATTTTATTAAGGTACATATCTTTTATTCGCAATACATTATCTGGTAATTCAAAGATTTATGTTTAGATAATTTTATTAGTATAAATATATAATACTGTACTTAATTTAAAAGCTATGAGAATTATATTCTATAATTATTCTATCCAGTTCAATTCCTTTTTATATTTTAGTACTAATAAAATCCTGGCTAGTGCATTATAATTCCACTAGGGCGTGGTTCAGTATTATTTCAAGTCCCAGTAGTGGCAATAAATGCATTAGCAAGAGCCATTGAGTTTTTATTTTTTTCGAAATCAATACTTATTCTGTTGATAAAAAATTGAGTATATTGTGCAATGGGTAATATTATTTCGGAGCAATTCTTAATTTAAGAATTGAATAAATTACATGAATATTTATTGAAAATGATAAGACAAATAATTTTGCATAAATTACAAAGATCTACACCTATTGATAATATTAATTGTTTTAATAGAAGTAAGAATTTTATATTAATAAATCTTAGAAATGTTGCTTAGCAATGCACATATATAGGTTTGTAAAATGTATCCCGAAAATATAATTAAAATACCAGAAATTATATATAATTTTTTAACGGTGAAGGATACTCACCTAGTTTGTTGCTAAGCTCATATCTGAGTTTTGAACCAGAAAAACAAAACCTTAGAATATGTTATCCAAAGATAATAAATATATATCTATATTACCAGAGAAACTTGACTTCTCTTTCGTGCAGAATTATCTTAAGTTTTAAAATTTCACAATAAAATTAAATTAGATAATACTGGTTGTAGTTTTAAATAAGATTTTTTAAATAGCTAATAGCGTCATTTTGCAATAGATTGTTTGTATGCAAAAGTATTTTAAATTATTATAATCAGGCAACAACGAAAATGATGTTACACTATACAAACATAGAAAACATAGAAAAGAATTTTGGCCAGATGTAATCTTTTTATTTTGTTATTCTCAAGGGACTTTGTCCCAGAATAAAATTATTTTTCTATTCTATTCTATTCTAAAACGACTTTTCAAGCCTTATTATTTGAGACCACCACAGAATTATAATTTATTCTAAAGAAAAAGGAATAATATACCACAAACCTAGCGCAATTTGAAATTAAAACTGTATATCGAAAGTACTAATAACTAAGTAATAAATAAATATGTATTTTGCCATAGAAGAAAGTACCAACCGTTATTAAAAATAATTGAAAATTACTTTGTGTTCAATTACCTTTTTTAATGGCCAATAATGGATTTTAAGGAAATTAAGTTAACTACGATAAAATAATATAAATGATCATTGACAATTAATTCGTTTCTTGGCTTTATTTCTTGTAATAAAACCACTTTACTTGAAGGGTTGTTTGGGATTGGTTGCTTTCGAATTCCCCAAACCTGTTTTATAGGAACTCTCGTAAAACAGATGGAACACGATCTTGACCTAGAGTTCGGTCTGTAATATTGTGACCTGGTCCAAGCTACGGATCTAGGATTCAGCATATTTCTAGTTACATGATATATATATATATATATATATATATATATATATATATATATACACACATTATATGCATATTTGATGAGCACGAATATATACTAAATATCGCTGAATTATATTTATTATACGTTGAATCTATTTCATTTTACGTAATTTAAGTGTTTGAAACAATTAGATATTTTGTTTCTTATGAAGTTGAGCTTAGATTGACTATATTAAAAAATGCATCGATTAGAACAAAATAACAGATATTTGATAAATATCACATCCTCAAATCTTTGCTAATTAGAATAAGAAATGCATTTAGAAGTAAATAATGATTTTTAATTTAATTTAGTATTTAATTTTATCTATTTGAACTATTCAGTAATTTTAGCAGATTTAAAAAAAAATGAAAAATGTCTTTTTAAAACTGGTTTATAGTACGTACATTCCACAATACAAGATGCGTTTTTAGTAGGACACACACTCATTTTATGATAAATATATTTATATATATATTTTTTTTTTTGCTTATTATTTTATTGTAATGTTTACTTTTCTACATACTTTGAATGAGCTCATTATCACAAATAATCATACACAAAAATATTTAGCACATTTCCTAGCAGGTTTCCTTTAAACTCACTGGTCTAGTGAACCTCAAACCTTATGATCAGCATTTTAATGAAATGTAAACGAAAACTAGGATTGTGAATAAAGGTAAAAAAAAAAAAAATGAATATTTAAGTACATATTTGACAGTGTAATGAACATTAAATATAAAATATAAATATAAAAAAATCTTTTTAAGTAACTAACCTTTGATGGTCATTCATTTAATGCCTCAAATATACAGAAATTTTATTATCTCGTATTTAACGAAAGTTTGCATTAGTTTATACGCATTATCATGGATGATTTAAAACTAATAGTTGATTAAATAAACATTTTGGGAGGTAAAAAAAAAATTAAAAATAATATTCATATTGTACAATCTCATATACCATGTTTTTCTCTCATTCATATTTGAACGATGTAATTCTTATCAATAAATGAAATAATAAACATCTTTAAAAAAAAAAAACGTTCGATGTATTTACATAAATGAGAGGCATTTTTCTTTGTAAACAAAAAATAACGTTTACAATTAATGCAAATTACGAAGATGTTAAACAATGACCCACTTATAATGTTAATGGATTTTTTACTTATAGCCCGTGGTACAGACCCCGTTTTATCAAATTATTAACATCCGCCTAAAACTTCTTGAATAGCTTCATCTCATCGTAACCTACAACTATTTTATTTACGAAAACTCTTGCGATTGGGGCGTTTTCAATCTGGAGAACGGCAAACTTTGTCTATTTAATTAGGTACTAAAAACTCGTAAATACTCATTTGCTTTCCACTTGAATCGTAAGATAATTCGAGCACGAAATCGTGAAATAAAGGTGGCCTGAAAAAATATTGAGAAGTTTGGTGTGACCTACATCCCAAAAGGTCAAAATAACGAGGTTATATTGGCCAAACAGTCCAATATTTTTTTAGGCCATCTTTTTTCTCGATTTTGTGATAAAATTATCTTACGATCCAAGAGGAAAGCAAATGGGTATTTACGAGTTTTTAGTACCTAATTGAATAAACATGCCGATCTCCATATTGAAAACGCCCCGATCGCAAGAGTTTTTGTAATTAAAATAGTTCTAGGCTACGATGAGATGAAGCTATTCATGAAGTTTCAGGCGGATGTTAATAAAACGAAGTCTGTACTACGGAATATTATTGAAAATACTGAAAGTTTCAACTATGTCACCATTAAGAATAAAAAACAAAAACAAAATGTCTCCTAAAATGATATCTACTAAGTCATATGCGTGTTCATACAAACATACACATTTAATGGATTTTTTAATCGAGTAATATAACATTCTGTCACATGGACAATAACTATAGTGAGATTATTTTAAAAAAAAATACACAAATTAAAAATATAAATTATACTTTAAATTTTTGTATTGCTATAATTTATGACCTATTTGAATTTTAACCAATTTGAACCACTAAGGGTAGGTGTAATTATGTGGATTTTAAGTATGTGTTTCAGTCTATGATTTTTTCTCTTTTTTTTTGTGCCAACTGATAATAGCTGTTTAATCTAGTTAATACCACCTTTGAGATAGCCAAATTATTAAAAAATTAAGTTTGTAACACATAACTCGGAATTCAAAAAATTGGGCTTCATAAGCCTCAGAAATATAAAGCTCTGGAGATACCACCTTGGGTTATCCCATGCGTCATCGACCGAAGACGCCAAGGAACAGAAAATGGCCGGAAGCGTTTCAAATTCTGCGAATGGTTCTATAAATATAAATATGCCTAACGAAGATTGCATACAGAATCGATGAATGTTCCAATGTTATAAAATTTCTGAAAATAAACTAGCTCTCGGAAATATTAAGGCAGCGGGGATGCCAAGAAGTGGGTGGTGGCATGGTGAAAGTTGCTCCACCAAATTTTTGATTCAGGCAAATTTTTACGTGATGATAAATTTCAGTCTGGAACTATATTTTTGTGGGGTTTCGATTTCGGAGAACATTTAAACCCGCGAAGAAGGGAAAAACAGAACGAACTAAACAGATTGTAATTAAAATACAATTTGTATAATTTTCCTTTCACTTGCACAGTTTTTAAGAAGAGGAGAGCTATAATATTTCTTAGAA